GTGACCTTATTGTGGCCTTTCAGTACCTGAAGGGAACTTACAAGAGAGCTGGAGAGGGATATTTTTCCAACAGTATGTAGTGACAGGACATGGGGGGATGGATTCAAATTGAGAGTAGGTTGAGACTGGATTTCAGAAAGAAATTCTATGCTGTGAGGGTGGTGAGGCACTGGAATGGTTGCCCAGAAAAAGCTGTGGGTGCTCCATCCCTGGAAGATTTCAAGGCCAGGTTGGATGGTGCTTTGAGCAAGCTGGTCTAGGGCAGGGTGTCACTATCCATGGCAAGGAGTTGGAACTAGTTGATCTTTAAGGTCCCTTCCAGCTGAGATCATGACATGATTCATTATATTCTTGTCCTCTCTCCATTTTGGGGGATTCCTGCCTCATATTTAGGGTATAAACTGAAAGTTCTTGCCATGTTGGCTCCAGGAATACCTGTAGATTTAGGATCTCTCAGACCTTTAATTTTCTTAGGAAAGCATCACACAATATAGTTGGAAAGCCTTTCCTAAAGGATAATGGTGTTATGAGCAACTTCATCAACTTAGCCACAAGCAGCTGTGATTTGGTTAATAATTATCTTTAAGGAAAGCTTTACAATCTTTATTACAATATGATAATATTGATGCAGAAACTTGTGAGTGTTTGGAGGTACAAATGAAATACTGTTCTAAGTACATTTGGGGATGTCGAAAGTAATGCTGGAAGTGTCAAGTTAACTACTTTAAGAATTTATCTTTCCACTTTTTCCTTTTTTCCTCATTTTCTTTTCTTCTTTTTTCTTCTTTTTCTTCTTTTCTTTGTTGGATTCAACAAATATCATAAAGCAGCAACTCTTTTGTTGTCATTAGGCAGTTGTTTCTAGAAAGTATAAAGGAAAACTAAAATTAATACCAGCAGTGAACTAGGCCAGGGTTTCAGGCTGACTGTGGGCAAGTCCCTGGTATTGCAGACAGCTCTTTTGACTTTTGAATATTTTGCCCTGTGCTTATCCCATATTTATTTATTTTTTTTTTCCCAGTTCCACTTTGAAATTTTCTGAAGGACTGTGTATAAGTCTTAATTTTCTTTAAATCTTGGAAAAGAAAAAGAAAGTAATTTAATCAAAGATGCATCATATGAATATTTTGGCAGTTTTATATTATTATCCTAAATTAGTTGAAATCACTATCAAAGTGTAAAGCCCTCTGTATGAGAGGTAGAAGTCCTTTAATAGACTTTTTCTGCAATTTTTAATCTGAGAGATTATTTAAACCTTAATTTAATGGTTGGCCATTTCCTACTTATACTTGGGAATCACAAAAAAGAAAAATTAATGTGATGGGTATCTCTAATAGCTTCCACTTCTCTCAGCAGCTAAAAATGCAATATGTTTAAAACAAATAATGCATGAAAGTATCTTACTCAAAACTGTGATTAGTTCTGTGTGTGGGAATATAGAATCATAGAACAGTTTGGGTTGGTAGGGACCTTTAAGGATCATCTAGCCCAATGTGTCTGCAGATGAGCAGAGACATCTTCCACTAGAATAGGTCTCTCATAGTCCTGTCTAACCCAACCTTGAATATTTTCAGAGATGCATAAAAATATAATTTTTAATTCATTTTTTTTGGCTCACTCTGTTTATAAAATGATTAGAAACTGTATAACTGCAAGTGTAAGTATATCCAGTGGCCTTCTGAGTGAGCTGGGAATCCAAAGGACAGCGTGCCCTTTTGCTTTGTCATGAGGAGGTGGAAGTTCAAGTGAAGGTGCCTGAAACATTCACAGTCAATATTCCTTCTGGAGAACCATAAAGTGCAGTCTCCCAGCACTTTGCCATCAGGCAGGCGGGTGGCAAGGGTGGAGGGGGGATGTTAGTAGGAAACCATAGCTGCTAGCAAACTTCAGATACTAATATAAGTAATGAAAAGCATTTTTGTGGTAATAACTCTGGGATGGGCATGTGAAAGTGTGACTTTGAGTAAAGCAATTAAAAAACTTTTGTTCTCGTCATAAAAAATGTTTTTTTAAATTCATGGGAGGCTGTGCTTTGTGCACTATCCCTTACCAACAAAAGTCTTTTTCATGGACTGTGGAATCTAGGTGAACTTCATCAGCACTTGTTTCTATTTAGTCATGTGAAAAGGGTTAAATCCTTAGAGTACTTTGAGAAAAAACATCTCAGAGCATTTTATGGTGACCTAAAATGCAGATGGCCAGAAGGCTTCCCCCATGTTCTGGAAGTTCACACTTCTCCTTCCTACATGTGAAGGGTTCCCATTCCAGCATACCTGTGCAAGGTTCCCATTCCAGCATATGGTATCTTAAGTTCTAAGACCACTCCTGCCACTGAGCTATCTATTTTATTTTTCACCTTGTTAAGTAAAGCCTATTATATAATATGTCAGAGGATCAATGAAGAAATTCCTTTGTTTTACTTCGTATCAATTGAAATAAATGTGGAAATCGCGTACTAGTTGCTCGTTTGTGTATGCTGGGGGAGTGAAAAAACCTAATTTAAGATGCTGTAAGCACTGAAAAAAGTCTCAGAGTACTTGAATGAGCTTTTACTTAGCATTTCACTTTATAGTACTTTACTGACTGGTTGTTGTTTCTGTCATCTAGAAAAGTGGATGCATAGATAACAAGTAATTTCTACAAATATTGCTTCTAAAACCTCCAGAGCTCCAGAAGCAGAATTTCCCTTTGTTCTCCTTGCTTTGATCTCCTATTCCAAATGAATGGGCCTCTGCATATAAGTAGAAGCTTTTTTCTGAGTTATTTTTTCAGTAAGTGTTATGGATCTTAACTTCGCACAGGTTCATGCAGTAGCACAAAAGTCTCAAGTGCCTTGCTGGAAATAAGCCATTTACTCTAATATATTTTTTCTCAAACTATACATTGTTATGATTTACCCATGCAATGCTCCCTACTGCACAATGCAAAGGCTCTAGTGCTAAAATCAATGTGAAATACAGTGAATATGTGCAAAAACTAGGTACTCATTTTAAGCTGGGCATTACCAAAAGATGAGTGTATAGTGCAAAGACCAATTCAGACTTGCAAGAGCAGACAATATTTGCATTTAGGCAAATGACCTAGCCATTGCTGCTATTTATTTCTGATAGTGAAATCATGCACCTGAAAATAATAGTCAAAATTTGGGCTAGGTATTATTGTATTAATGTGCACAGCAGAAAGAGAAGAAAATTTTACAGTTCAGAGTAAGAGGCTTTTATGTGTCTATTCTGGCTCTTAGAAAATCTTGTGGTTTCTGCTGCAAAGGTACCTTAAAAACCTTGTACATTCCACAGGCAAAGCAAAGTGTGCTGGCACACTGAGGGGCAGCAGGGTGCTTGAGGCAACGTGACTGGACTGCCACATAGATTGTAAGCATCCTACAGAAAAACGTTTCTCATCCTATCAAAACATAATAAAATGGGATGCAGATAACTGCCACGTTATGCTCATCACAGCTACTTCTTATTCTGAAACTGTGGGGCTTCAAAATAGTTTGGAAAAAAATCCCAACACATCAGCAGAACAGTTTTTACTGAGCAGAATCTAAGAAAGGAATCATTTGGGGATGGGGGGTGTGTGTGTCCTGTAACAACCCGAAAGAAACTGTAAGAAACAGAAAGTATAGCAAAAAGAAGCGAAATCTCAACAGTGCAAACCTCTGCTTCAGCTACAACTCCTTGTCCAGGACTGTGGGCAATCACCACAGAAACCTGCTGACATTGACTCCTGTGCCCCAGGCTCTGCTGGTGTTGGTGTTCAAGGTGTCCCTGTAAAATCTGTGCAAAAGCTGAGACAGAGCATTCAACTGACTCAATGCAATTTAATTAATTAATATCTGGCAGCTGGGTTTGATCATGCTAGAACAAGTAAACTTCCAGAGTGGTTCAGTTTGTGAACTTCAATCATAACCAAATAATGGTTATAAATGGTCATAACCAATCATGACCAAAGATATATATTTTAAAAAGCATAAGGAGTAGTTTTACATTCCTGGAAAGTTGTATCCTGCCAATTTTAACTGTTTCATGGACAAATTTTATTAAGTGTTAACATGCAGGTTTACTGGCTTACTCTGCAGTTTATGCAATGCATTTAGAAAGAGAAAGCAAACATTTTATTTTGTTCTAGAGTATGATATACTGAAGTATTTGGTTTCCTCCAGAAAAAATGGATTCAGCATTTTACTTGAAAGCCTTTGTATGTAGATAAGATTCAGACACACTTCCTGAGGTTGTGAAAATCTGTCATAATGAATATGAATGTCAGTATGAATATCACAGTGTACATTGTTGATGTTATTTCAGTTCCAGCTTATTTTAGCAGTAAACTGTTGAAAATTGTTTTACCCTTTTTTGCTTATACATTCTGAGGAACTCAAAGGAAAAATACTCATGCTCTATTGATGACTAAAAATATGAAAATATTGATTATTTATAAATATGAACTTGCTTCAACAGGCATACAGTGTCACAATCTAAGCTACAGATTCAGAATTGTATTGTTTTTAAACATGAGGTAAGGTAGCTTCAGGAATACTGTAGGAAAAAATATTTTATCATAAAAGATGTATAAATATGTATCCTGATGCATTTAGCAAAACTTGAGAAAAACCAAAATAAAAAACACATGAGTTATTAAGCTTCCCACAGTTGATGAAAAAGGTGCTCTTTAATGGAATCTGAAGTTTTACAGTCTGTGCTTTCCTGACCTTATTTGAGTTTATAGCTAATAGGAACTTCACACATTTTGTAGTCTAAATCTTACAATTCTTTGTAGGCTCTTAGATGTGATATATATACCTTTGGATGTAGAAGTACATTTGTTCACAATTTTTACTCATTAACTGATGTGCAGAATATTACTGTAATGGTCTGTAGTAGACAGCAATACAGGAGGGGATAAAAGGCTGCAGAGAAGTAGTGAAAGGTACTTGTTACAAATTGATGTCTTTATGTCTTCTTGCTTATGAAGATGTGAATGTGTTGGGTATTTTGCAGGAGCTTCAGGATGGCATCGGGCAGCAGCAAGCTGTTGTCAAAATATTGAATGCAACCGGTGAAGAGATTATTGAACAGTCATCAACGGCAGATGCCAAAGTGCTGAAGGAACAACTGGAAAGTTTAAATAACCGGTGGAAGGAGATCTGCAGACAGTTGGTAGAGAAAAAAAAGAGGTAGGTTAAAAGAGGGTTAAAATACTGTGAAATTATTTTTAGTTATTTTAGGTTTGATTCTGGCTTGAAATTTCAAAGGAGGTCTCAACATCTAGAGTTTTCAAGTATAAAAGGAATTATCAGTAATTAAATTTTATATCCTATAAATTGTTCATAGACTGTAATTTGTTTTATTCTTTTCTACCTACTCCTGTCAGTGACCACCCTTCCCTTCCATACTCCATGTTTTTATATTTTAACTTCTAATGGTTGAGAAAACCAAACAAGCACACATGACTGCTGAATTTTAAAGTAAAACAGTACAGAATTTACAACTGGTTTATAATCTTAGTTTTGTGTCATTAAAGCACTTCTCTGTAATGCTAATAATATATTGGTTGATTTATACAGGTAGTCCTAATCCAGTTTATCTATCAAAATCAATGCCATTAACATCCACATTTCATAGGCTGGATTTAAAAAAATGGATTTATCAATTTAATATTATTTATGATCACTTTTAGATCAATTTGTGTTTCCCATGCAGTCAAAGAAAGGTAGAGTGTTTGAGTTACAGCTAATACAAAAATAGTTTTATACTTTTAGCCAGAGAATTTCCAATGTAAAAAAAAAATAAATTTCCCTGTTAAGATAGGTTTTATTAAAGAACATATTCTTAACCTAGATGCTGGGCCTAACTGGATATGCCTTTCTGTTTTAAAATACAGTAGAAAGTACAGGTACAGCTTTCTTCATGAATGTTCTTTAAATCCCAGAATATTCCTTATAGAGATCCACTAATGAGTGCTGGAGATGTACTGGAAGAACTGGTAGTGTGCAGCAAGTTTTTTTTATTTCTTATGTGTCACGTATAATTTTTCCATTCAGAGCCATGGGGGCGAAAAAGCTGTGAAAATGTTTAGTAACTAGCATCATAAGGGAGTGTCCTGAAGGGTTACTACTGACTCTAACCATGATTAAAGTTTCACTTGGAACATGTTGTCAGTTGTTGGAACAGGCTGCCCAAGGTGGTGGTTGATTCACCATGGAATCGTAGAATGGTTAAGGTTGGAAGGGAACTTAAAGTACATTGAGCTCCAACCCCTCTGGCATAGACAGTGAACTTTCTACTAGATCAGGTTTCTCAGAACCTCATCCAGCCTAGCTTTGAAAACTTCCAGTGATTTGAACTCCACAATCTCTCTGGACAACCTGTATCAATGCCTCACAGTTCAGAAGCAAATTATTTCTTCTTAATAGCTAAACACTTCAATCTTAAGGTAATTCTCCATTGTCTTATCACTGCATGCCCTTGGGAAAAGTCCCTTCCTGTAATTCCCCTTTAGATACTGAAAAGTGCTGTAAGGTTTCCTGATGACATTTAAAAGACATGGAGATGTGTCATTTAGGGATGGGACTGCTGGGTTAATGGTTGGACTCAAAGATCCTGAGAGTCCTTTCCAATATGAATGATTCCGTGTTAAAAAGAGATGCAACAAGCAATCTACAGCTGTCAGAAGCTTCAGAGATGTTTTAAATAATTCTTTCTGCTGTATTTCCAGGTGTTGATGGCACTTATTTGTTACACAAGGGCCTTTATTTGTCACATAAAAAGTTATTCTTTTGTACATTGGAGACACATCTGTGTTTCCAAGCATTAACTTATGTAAGTGCAAACACTTAAAAAACAATAACACAGCATTTCAATAGCCCTGTAATCTGCTTTGGTAATGCAGAAGGAAGAGATTGGTGGTGGACCTTTGTCTGAGGATATAAAATATGTTCCTGTTCTGGATAAGGTTGTTGTTGTTCATCCCTTCATTTATCAGTAGAAATGTCTATCTGAATGTTGTTTCAGCTCAATGCAGTGTTAGAATATTACATGGAGTTTCTTGGTACATTCTACATTTTAAGGGAGCCTAGTATTTGTTAAGTGGGAATAATCCATTTATGTTCCCTAGATGAAGGTTCTTAAATAAACACTGCACATGCATTCCTCCTTTTGTTCTGTTTAATATGTTGACCGATTGGTTTGTTTTCCTCTGGAATGACAACTTGTGTAATTTAGAGGAAAATGATTGCAGAGACCTCTGTTAGCGAACTTTGTGTGAATAATAGCATTGCACCAGGAGGAATACAGATAATGTTGTGCTAAACTAATATAAATGTTCCTGGTGTACTTTAGTAAGACTTGTATGCATCAGGATACTTCTTTTCTCCTCCCAGTCTTGGCTGTGTTAGAGTCAGGGAATGCTTTTTGCTCCCAGATCTTGGAAACACATCCTACCCTAGCTTCTGCCTCCACACATGTGGTGTTTTGTTTTGTTTTGTTTTGTTTTTACTCTTCTAGAGCAGATTTTCAAAGGAAAGAAACCTTGACAGGAAAAAGTGGTGCGTTCTAAGTAGGTCTCAATTATCGATGAACCTGGGCATGAAAAGACCTTAGGCTTATCAGCTGCACAATCTTTATATAGCCAAGATGTCATGGGATTTGCGTAACTCTTATGCTTTGACATCTTTTAGTTTTTCATTATTTGTCCTAATTTGGTTTTGGGTTGAGTCAGATTTCTCTGTTTAAGAGTTGAAACCCATGTCATCCAAAAGGCTTTAATTTATCCTTAAGATCAAAGCATGAGGCAAACAAAAGTTGAAGGAAGCGACCCCTACTTACATTCCAAAGAGCTAATATAGTCATGGCATTGCCCAATGGATGTGTTGGTTCTATGTCAAATTTACCTGTGTCAGTAGAATATAAATTACAATAAATACAGGTCAATTATCATATTTTGATTTCTCCTTTTCAGAATAGTTTTAATAGACTTAAAAAAAAACCCCACTTAAAATTCAGAATATTTATATTATAACTCACATAAGTTTTAATAGTCTTTATTTTTATTTGTGTCATTTGTCTATGTTTCCTTAAAATTAATTTTTCATAGTTAAAAGAATGTTATTTTTATCAAGGGAATGCTAAGATTGTTTTAAAATCAATTTTGAGAATGAGAAAATAGAAGCACATTTTAAAACTATATTGAATGAAGGTTATGCTGATGGGAGAGCAAACTGGGTATAATGCATTTTCATACAATAATTTCAAAGAAAAATAAAATTGATATTAACATTTAGAACCTTCTGCAAATCAGAAAACTGACTCTAAACTTTTAATAGGTTTCAAGTTTTATTCTTTGTAGTTAATACATTATTCCCTGCTTTAATGTTAATTCTCAGTAGCTCAGAACAGTGACCAACTGAAATTTTGTTTCCTATTACATTCTTTCGCTCAGTGGATCTCAAGTGTGTCAAGAGTGTCAAGAAATTAGCAATTGAATGGATTCCAGAAATGAAATCTGTTAGTGATTTCAGATTCAAGTGTAATGCTGTTAAGCATTATTTGTGAAGGAAACTTTATATATTATAAGCTCTGTTTTTGCTATTTACTTACCCAGATGAAAGACATCGATTTTGATAATTCTGCATAGTTTTATATGAAACATCAAACTTTTATATGGGGCATTGACAGTCCATTCTAGATGTATTTTTCAAGCTGAATTCAAAGATCAGTAGGGGCTGAGGGGAGGAGAGAAGCAATTACAGGAGTAACAGAAAGTGACACAGATATTTTTAGAAGGAGCATGAATGTGAGAAATTTTTTGGGGACAAGAGGTGTAAGGTGTCATTTCCAAGAATGCTGATGACATTATGTCTCAGGTAGTCAAAGGCTGAGTCAATAGTGGGAGCTCCAAAACTGAGCAGATGGGCTACAAGTGGCAGATGATCTTGATCAGAGACAAATGTGAGGCAAGGAATATTTCCAACAGACTATCCCATGCTTAAGTGATACTTAACAAGTGAGCTTGTTACAACTGCAGAAAGAGATCCTGACTTTATTGCTGACAGTGTTTACAGGCACAAGATGGTGTGGCAGCAAAAAAAAAAAAGCCATGGTGTTTTAGGCTGCATCAGTAAGGGTATTACAAACAAAAAAAAATGCTGTTTTGGTGATATCCAACATTGTGGTGTACTTATGTTGGTTACTGTGTGCAGATCTCTGTGCATGTCAAAGGATATAGAGCACACACAGAAAGTGTTTGTGGGGGGAGGCAGGTCAAATGAACCAAGGTTTGGAGTGGCTGCACTGTGAGGAAGGACTAAGAAGGTGGGAATCTTCAATCTGGAGAAAAATCTCAGGAGGGATATGACTGTTTTATAAAGGTTTACACAGTTAAACTGATGGGTAAACTGAAAGTGGAACAAAATGTTATTGACCTAATTCCTCAGTACCTAGAAGGGAAGATTACTTGCTGGAAATGTAAGAGATGGTAAAATGGATATAAGATTTATGTTATGGTTTCTGAAAGTCTGAGATGTGCTGGCCACAGAAGGTTGTGGAGGAAAATATGACTCAGCCCTATAGAATTCTTAACCTAATGTCTGTGGATTCTGGGGAAGTATGAGGTTAACAGAGTAAAGAACGTGGCCGGTCTTCTGTGTTCCCCTTCACCACCATCCCCTGCTCCCAATGCTGATGGCTCTCTCTTGGGCTTTTCTGAAACATTTTTCATGTTCTGGTGCATTTTGGGGAGGGGAGGAAAAATTCTCCAAAATTGCTTTGTCAGTTTTCCTGAGGTTGTATGGTTAAATGATCTGCTATGTATTTATAATACTGTCACTGCATTGACAAAGATCCTGTAAATTCAAAATATTTCATGTAACCACCATGAATCCCACGGTTTCAAGTTGGCTTGAAAAGCAAAGATTTAAACAGGATATAATTCCAAGATTTTCACCATGTTAATTCAGTTTTCATGAATACTTTGGAATCAATATTAAACTACCTGAATAATAAGAATTGTAAACCAGATCAAAACCATGATATTCTATAAATTACTGAAACTGATCATAGATCCACTAGATCCTAGTATTAACCTCAGTGATAGACTGGCAGTTTTAATGAATAGGAATTATTTGGACTGTAAAAGGTCAACTTAATTAAAAACAGACAAGAAAACAAACTAAATCTC